GAGAGAAAGAAAGAGAGAGACAGAGAGATGGAGATGGAAAGGGCCTGTATGTTGGCGGCACCAGAACAGTCCGTGAGACAAAACAATACACCTTGCAAACAGGATAGTATAGGTGTAGAAAGGTGCCTTGCGAGATAAGTGGATGGTTGGACGTGGGTGTGTTGGGCCCGCCTACATGCATGTCGGCAGGATGCAAAAAGCCATAGTATCCGTCTACTTCTAACTATTCACCCAAGACTTTGTCCCTGCATACTACATAATCACATGCGTACAAAAATGCCGCATGCATGTGTAATGTGTACCTGTGCCCCTTGCTTGCCAGCTTGCTGGCTGGCTCGTTTGCTTGTTGACTAGCTTAGTTCACCATTGGGTACTTGCTTGTACAAAGGCACACCTGCATGCACGCACTGACAGTATGCAAAACCCGTAGGCTGTTGTATGTACAAACAGCATGCATGCAATGTGTGTATTCATGATTGTGTGCCTCGAAAGCCTGGGCACGTGGAAAATAGATAGATAAGTAGACAAACAACAGGGTACCGACAGACAGAGAGACAGAGAGCGGGACGGTCGGTGTGCTGATCGCATGTTGCCTTTCATAGCACACAGGGATTGAATGGGTTGGCTGACATACTCGCCAGCCGAAGTCCGAAAGTCCACTTGGGGGCCTCCACGACTCGTGCAGCTCTTCCATCCACAAAGAGTCCTGAGATCCGCGGGATCCGGCTCCAAAAATGTCCAGGTTGCTGAAAGTAAATCTGCCTCAAGCTCTGCCAGCATGGAGACACATGCACGAAACATACATCAACAATTTTATGAAACCGCTCCAGCTTGAGGCTTCCAGATCATTCGGTCGAAACACTCCCTCAGCTCCGCTTCCAAAGTTCATTGGGCTCAAGGCCCCGACGTCCAACCCTCACCTTGAATCACCGCTTAATCCCGAACTCAACCGAACCCACCCCAGCAAACAGCTCCTCGAAACCTAAGCCCGAAACCCCAAACCCCAACAAGGTTGAAGTACCACAGCCGGGTCACCGATGTCCGACAGGTGTGTAGTCAGGCAGCCGTCACCCGAATTTAGGAGGCCCTGGCCACAACGACTGTTTCCCCGTAGCTCTTGATGTTCAACGGTTATAAGAGATAGTCGCTCTCATGTATCCGAATATGTAATTAAGATGCATGCGTGTGGCAAGGTGCGCAATTGAGAAGTGTACCCGCGTGTGGTATACACACAACAAGCTGTGCCCATGCACATAGGTAAAAGCTCATGCATTTACATACAGGCAGCAGGCAGGCAGGCAGGCAGGCAGGCAGGCAGGCAGGCAGGCAGGCAGGCAGGCAGGCAGGCACAGGCAAGTAGGTAGGGAAGCACATATATATATATATGTATAATATAACATAATGTAATGTAATATAATATGATATAACATAACATAATATAATATAATATAATATAATATAATATAATATAATATAATGTAATATAATATAATATAATGTCATATAATATAATGTCATATAATATAA